TTTAATCGCCCAATGTTCTTTTAAATACCTTCTAGAAAAACTAGGTAAATTAAGGAACTTCGAGACAAATAATATATTTAATGAAAAAATTTATAAAAATATATTTGTTCGTACATATGCCTATTATTCAAATCTCAACCATAAAATTCACCAACAAAGAAATATAGAAGACTTTCTTTCCAGACCACCTCTTTCACGCGGATCATGGATGGGCATTACAATTCAATTATCAATACATGGCGTGAAATTTTTTTATTGGGAAAGAACGGAAATTAATTAATTTCGTTTAAAAACCGAATTGAGGAAATAACGTTGTGTGTGTCGCTTAGGTGTCTGTCTGAGCATAAAGTGTGAATGGAAGCCGCTTTACCATACTTGTATACATCGGAATTGCTAAGAATTACATGGTGTAATTTATCTCCTCATACACTTTTCTATATTTTTATGTGTGCATGTCTCGTTTTTGTATCTTCGGTGGGCTTGTTTTTTTTTTAGACAAGCTCATTGGAAGCAAACAAATGAAGACGACACACTTAAGTAGATGCGTCTTTTGTTTAGTTGATAACAACCCGTCGAGAGAAATATAAATACAAAACAACGAATGAAAATGGGAAACCCATGGATGAATGAATGAATGAGAATTTAGTAATGAATACAAATACAACAACAAAAGTAAATTACAACAAACATTGAAACAAAACAACCAACCTAGAAATGGATGAAATGAAATTGGATACAAGCGCTAAAGAAGAGTTGATTAATGTTCACAATGATGATGACACGCTCCACAAAAATGTATGTCTCGTTGTCTATCTATTCCCCCCGTCTGTTTAACTATGAATTTGTCTATTCTTCGGTCCGCATTTAATTAAAAAAAATCGTAATCGTATATATAAACAAACAGAGAATAAAATGTGTTACAAATGTCATAAAGAATCTACACATAACATTCGGAACCGAAATGTTTTATTGTGTGTGTGTGTGTGTTTAAGAAATAAATAAATTCAATTTAATCTAAACCCTACAGCATGTGGGTTTTGAACGCACTACAGTCAATTCGAGATTATTGGAATTCACTTTTTTTGTACACCGGTCATAAATTTTTGTACAAAGTATGTACCACGCAAAATCATAACGTTTTTAAGCGTGGAGTTTAAAAACGGCCCCATGGAGGGTCGAGATCCACTGGTTATATAAGTTTATGTTTATCTGTGAATAATAAAGAATTGGTATCAGTTATGCGGAATTCACTGTATAAACTCTGAATGGCTGGACTAAAGCTTAATGAAATCGATATTTTATTGATATTGATTAAATGAGATAACATAAGCAGAGACAATTGGGTCGATTCTACGAATAAATATAACTGTTTTGGGAATGCGTTATATACACTATGTATTTCCATTATTAAATACATTGCCAGATAACATGAGAAAACCTGTTACGCTTCTATCGCATAGACATTCATGGTTGAAAGATAAACATTTTATTGGCTGATGAACTTAGATCTGGGGCTATTCTTAGACAAGGAAGACTAAGATTTTTTTACTTTGCACATTATTTTGATTTACCGTGGAGGTCCAAGCTAATTAACTTTAGCGACAAGAACATCGCAAGTTAGAATTATAGTATATAAGAAACTGGTTTCAGTGAAGAAATACTTTAAGCCTTAAAGTCCTAATGTACATTCTACATTTCTGTAACGAGATTCTCTCTATAACGAGTAAAAAAAAAATATATAGCCATAGCCAAATGCATAAAACAAATAATACCAACTATTCTAATGTAGAGAAATTCCAACCAAGATAAGATTCTACTTTTATTCATTCCTCTACTGTTACTAAACCTTTCGCCTCATCTCTTCATGTAGGACAAATTGGATTATGTTCCGTTGTCTGAGAGTAACAAAAAAGCACGAAATGTAATATGAACAGACAAAAGATAAAAACAATGCAATTAAAATTTTTATTTCCACATCAAAATGAAAAGAAGCTTATGTGATTTGAAAACACATTGTTGTTACATTGGTTAGCTTTATGGTATTCCAGGTGAAATTAGTTTAGAAATTATGATGTACATCAGTGTGTACAGGGTGAGATGAAAAAACTGCAACCAACTTCAGGCTGCTGTCATTTCTAAGCTGCTCGTCCGACAGATTTTAAAATTATTCCAGTGACAGCTCATTATATTGTGTACAAGCGTACAAATTTTCCAGAAAAAAGAGTTATTCGTGACGGAATTCAAGCATGATAGTGTGATTTCTTTATATTTGGCTGGATAACCACAAGTGGCTAACGTTAGAGCACTCCAGCATTTACATGTGAATAAATCTTTTTTGCCTCGTAAACAAACAAAATGATCGTTTTTACTTGCCAAAGAGGTCAGCTGAAAATGTGCATCTTCGGTTGGCAACCAGTACTTAAGCGCCGGTCATTGTGTGGTCGATGGTCTCTCTCCGCTCGTATTAATCGACCGTGGCATCAGAATAAATGCCGAATATTATCGCGAAAATATTCTGGAGGGTGTATTACAGCCTTGGGCACGCAGACCTTGGACATTCCAACAGGAATCAGCACCATCGCACTCAGCACGAGCAACACAAGAATGGGTGGCCACCAAAATCTCCGGATACCAATCCGTTGGACTATTATGTCTGGAGTTTTTTGGAAAGCAAGGTTGGCACTAAAAAATACCAAATTGTCGACCACCTCAAGCTAGCGCTTCGCCGAGAATGCCCCAAAAATACCGCAGAGCAACATTCGGACAGCGAGTGACGGTTTCATTGGCCGTTTGAAGGCCATAATTCGTGCCAAAGGTGACCAATTCGAACAAATCTAAACTTATTCTAACATTTGATGATATTTCCAAAAAGTTTGGGCTTTCATTCAATAAAATTTAAAAAAAATTAAATTTGACTTTGTTACTGTTTTTTTATCTCACCCTGTATATAATATATATCACGTATAACGAAAAGTACTCTTTGGAAGTATACGCGTGAAAACGAATTCCTATTTAATTAAAACTCTGTTGATGTGAGGAAAACCATTTTTTTATATTTTAAGCAACGTTCAAAACAAAACACGGGCAATCTATTAATAGCTTCCAAAAATTGAGGATGAAACTATTAAAGAAAGTCTTAAAGTCGGGCGGGCCGACTTTATGATACCCTACACCACTTTGCTAATTTAGTAGAACTCCGCATAACAATTAAACGTTTTAAGATTCTTCAATTTATTGTATATTTTTTCCTAGTTCTGCTCACACCCCCCAAAAATTCATTTCTGTTTACGTCCTGTAGTCAACTATCATCTCAGACTTGCTACGAAAGAATAAAGATAATAACCTACTATCTGAAACTAAATGATAAATTTACCATAACACATTGTAATTACACTTATGAACCAATATCCCTTTTCATCTTGGGACCATATATACCTACATAGATTACTCCAGACTTTTTGATCTACTTTAAAAAATCAGTTTATTATTCAATATTTTAGTACTTTTGGCATCTTAAAAAGAAACATTTCGGCAAATGGTTACAAGTATTTAAAAAACATGACGATATACTGAATTTTAAACCAACTGCATCAAATTTTTTCGGCTTAACTGTATATTTCGTATCCAGATTTCATGAAATACATACTCCACTTGATACCTTGAAAACTTATGGCCTAGACGATACTGAAACTACTAATTTAAAACTAGCAACCATGGTAAAAACGCGTCGGAATAAACCTGTCAATATTTCTTGTCAATTAAATGACAAAAAGTTCATATTCCTAAACGACTGAGAAGTAGCAGTCGTTCGTCAAAAATCTTCGCATACATACATAGTAGGATAATTCCAATCATATTATCATCATACATGTTCCCAGGAATTCGATCACAACATATGCTTTGCATTTAAATCGCATAGTCTCCAAACTCCCACATGACATGCCACATTTTTGATGTAGTGCGCCTGTCCATGGGTGAATCGTCATAAAAATTGCATTGTCGGTACAAAGTAAACGCTCAGCTGGTTTCTGATGAAAAAAAAAAACAAAACTAAGAAGTCATTGAAAATTCGCTGCACCAAAATTCACAAGACGTGACATTTACTCCTTCCAGTCATGTGGAAAACGCTGAGACGACACCATCCACAGTCAGGGGTGCAACATGCAACAACAAATATTCAAAATTCTCCAAGCATATATGGAGTTCGACTGCATGCTTGCAATGTGCAGGCTGGCTGGATGGCAGTAACAACTAGAAGATGGTGTTCGTTCGTTAGTGTTGTGGATATTTTCATCCACCTCCCCAATACCACCACCACCATTCCATAATGAAAAGCGAATTAAAATACAAATGTTGTTTCCACATCAAAGCCATAATATTGATTGTCCTTGAAAAAGGAAAGAGAGAGCGAAAGGCACAAAACCATATGGACGAAAAATGCACCAACACAACATGCTCGCAGTACATTCTACCTCCCTTGGATGCCTTGTCCGTATAGCGAGTATAGAGACCCCTTGCTCGCGACACACACAAAAGCAGCTGATGTTTGCCACAGACAAAACGACAGACTATGGAGGAGAACAATTGAGTGTGTATGCACCCGATACCCAAAATAAAGGTGGTTGAAGTCTCGATTCAATCTTCTCTCGGCAAACAATTATTTCTTCCGTATACCCATTTGGGTGTCCACACCATTTTTTCCTTATGAATATTCATAAATTTTGCTCTACTCTAGAATTCGTCAAATTTTCTTTTACAAAAAAATACATTTTCCAACTCCAGCAGATGACGGAGCATTCTGGTCATGTTTTCGAAGGAAAGGACTCAGCTGTTCGAGTGTCTGCGTCTGGCATATTTATGTCTGTGTTATGTGTCATGCCACCGTGAACGACCGCACCCAACGGACAGACATAAAATAAGATATTGCAAAAATCTTAATGCCTCAAAGATAAAGGATGCAAATGCAGACAAAGGAAGAAAGAGGCGGGGCGATTACTTACCAGCAATGACCGTGTCACTCAGATTGAATTTAGTTCCTGTTTTAGGGAAATCCTTCAACTTTCTGTTGGTCAGAATCAATTCTCCACTTAGATGAGCCTCCTCAAGTATGCGTTCCAGAGAACGTGCCAACTGATGATGGTGTCCACCGGATGCAGTACCACTGCCTCCGCCAGACCCAGAAGTGCCGCCACCGCCCCCAACCACTCCCACACTGGTATTGTGGAGTCGGTTGTAGACGGCAGCCGTCGCTGCCATCCTCATTTGAAGTAAATCTTCCTCTCTACAGAGGAGGCGCTGCTGCTTTCAAAAGAACTGCTACTGTTCCCCTTTTCACGATACACACAACTCGAAAAATCCTGTATCACTTGCGCTCAATATCGTCGCATCGGATTTATTTCATATTCGTATACAAGACACTGATGTGGACCCAATTTAACTGATTTCAATTCGAATTTGTGTAATTTTCATTTATGATTTGCTTTCTTTTCCACTTAATTTTGGGCTAACTTTTTCCGATTTTATTTTTGTTTTATTCCCACAGACACACACGCACACTCTCTCACACATCACATATTTATTCCAATTCCTAGAATATATCTTCCCCTTTATTTTCTTTTAACTACGTCCGACGCGAACGTACTTTCGCGTTTCAGGGCTGTTTTCTTTCTGAGTTAGGGAGACATAAGTCGACTAGAAATTTGAAAAGTCGATGTCGCCCTCATCTGTGGTGAAAATCTCACAGTCGACTACTCGTAATCGATTACCGATTTAAAGATCTTCGATTTTTAGTCGACTTCTTTTTTTAGCCGTTGAGGTTTTTATGGCTTTAATTTTTTTAATTTTTTCCATTTGCTAACAACTTTGTTGGCTCTCAGAATTAAAAACTACAGACATTACTACACATGGTTCAATAAGGAGGCAGAACAGCTTCGTTAATATACAGAAATACAGCCCTGAGTCAGAATTATTCAAAATTATATTCGACAAGTTGTTTTCATTATTTGGGTATTCTTCCTCATGTTTAAAATGAGGAAAATGGAATATCTGGATTTTCTTTCAAAAATAGGATCGAAACAATTCAAACTTTCAATACCATGACAAAACTGTTTATTATCGTCAGTGAGCGCCCCAATATACATTTGTTCCAATCAAAATTGGCAGAAGTCGGGCACACTTAGAAAAAAATTGTAATCAGCTGGTAGCTCTATCTTACCCTTTTATAGTACCATGTTACTACAGCTATTACTAGTTGTGTTCCAGTACTTTTTTAGTAGTAAAACTAGCAGAAGAGAGAACAGTTCGAAATGTCATTCTCATTTAGGTGTGCTCAAAAAATAAGGGAACGGAAAATTAGCAAAAATGCGATAAAATGTCAAAATTCAAAAGTAAACTGTCTAAATCGGACTGGTGAAACCTTACTGAAAAGGACGCCAAAATTTAAAAAAATGAGTATTGAAGACGATAAGTTAAAATTAATAATCTATAATAATAATTAATAACCTGATTTCTCATTCAGCCATTCCTCTTCACTGATGGAATCATCCAAAAGTGAATACATCAGTTGCTCCATATTTTTTCTTTTTGTTTTTTGCACGACAAATATTAGTTTTTCCTTTAGTTTTTAAGTTGATGATTTTCTTTATTTTTGTTGTGACGCGCGAACATTGAAATGTATATTTTTTTCTCGAGAGAGAGCTGCAAGTTTTGCTAGTTTTTGGAGTACGGGAACGCGTTGTAGCAGAATTAGTTCTAATTAGTACTAATTTGTAGGTTCTGGAACACAACTACTATCATGGTAGAATTAAGACGGTAAAGTTATATGTTTAAAATTTTTCAATATTATTCATTTGACAAATACCATTGAAAAGAAAAAAGCTGGATGTTATTTTTTGAAAAAAGGTTATCTTGATTGGTCTCGGACTGTTGTTTCGTTTTACGTTTTTTTACATATCAAACGCTATACCTATCAATTATTTATACAGGGTGAGATAAAAAAACTGCAACAAAGTCAAACGCCACAATCTTTAATTTCTTTTAGATTTATTGAAAGAAAGAAAAAATATCGGAAATAGCATCTAATTTTAGAATAAGTTTAGATTAGTTCGAATTGGCACGAATTATGGCCTTCAAACGGCCAATGAAACAGTCACACGCTGCCCGAATGTTGTTCTGCGGTATTTTGGCACAATCCCGGCGAAGCACTTGCTTGAGGTGATCGACACTTTGGTACTTTTTAGTCCAATAGATTGCAGGTGCTGGAACACAGTATTAGTAATGCACGACTTTACCTTCTTAATTCTACCATGGCTATAAAATTCGATTACAAAATAATAAATCTTCGAAAATTTGAACATTTGGTACATAATCAGCGTGAAGTCCTCGCATGGCATATTTTGTGACATATCATAAAGGGATGTCAGAGCCGCACTCGAATTCTCCCATCGTTTTTCCTTATATTTTGACATTAATATGCCTAGCCATGATGCCGAGCTGCTTATGTACACTCACTTTTGCAGGTTCTGAAATAGAGAAGTTGTCAGGTAGTCACAAGTTATTTTGCAAGTTTGGTGGAATTGTTGTTACTTTTAATTGTACCAACACACATGGATCAATAAAAAATGTTGCTCGACTTCAAAGAAACCGGAAAAATTCAACTCTGTGCTGGAGTCTTATAGTGTCAAATAAACTTTTAAATATGCAACAGTAGGCTTTGTTTATTTTTAATTTTTTAAATAAAATATTTATATTGGGAAAAACCCACGAAACAAGAGTGGAATTTCGGGGTTATTCCACAAGATGGAATCTAAAATAGTAGGATAATACAGTTTGATCACAAAATTGTACAATTTTTTATCTATTTACGTGGAAAATTTGCATTTATTTTGCAACCAAATTTGAAATAATTTCAAATGATTGTATTTTTTATTCAAAACAATACACACACATACACAAGATGTGTATATGTTTTGGCAGGATAAGGACACCAAAAGAAAAAAATTGTATTTGAGGGGTAGCTTTGTTCTACCTTCTGTAGCTAATGAGAGCGGCGTTGTTTAGAATAAACTTGAAATGCGGTAATATCTATTTTCTGTTCCGTGAGAAGTGTGCAAATGAAATAATGCATTGAAGTATTGGCACCATTTTTCCTCATTACATTTCGAAATGTATTTTCATTGGCGCCATATATGTTCTATTACTGGTAACATTTTTCGGTATACCATAAGTCGGCTAACACCTAACACCGACCTAATAACATTACCGTCAAAGCAAAGACACAAGTTATGTTCCAGACGTAAAAACATTCTACTATTTTGCATGGTACAATGATATCAAGGTAGGGCTATGATACCATATGATTTAAATTTTTTTATTTTCTTGGCTTAATATGTCATCTTTATTTGTTTATGTATGTGTTTTCTTTCAATAACAAAAAATTGTTCAGAAAATATTCAAATTCAGGTGTTTTCAAAATGTATGCATCGTATGCATCGACAAAATCTAGATTTTTTGTAGCGAAATAATCCTTTAGAGATATATAGTACATGATTTTGAAAAGAATTGTTGACCTTTCATTCAGTTATCGCGATTTTCAATTATTTATTCAAAATAAATGCAACAAGTTGTTTGGTTTTTTATTGTTTTGATACTAATTTTGACATTACAAGCCAAACAGGTAGACCTCTATACTTGCAATTTTTTCAAAGTTGACCTACCTTCTCTTCATTGTACCATGCTATTTTGCACGTTTTGTCCATAAAAGAAGTTTCCATTGCAATGCATTTGGTATCTTTTGGTTTTTCGACTCTTAAAATTTAAATTACTTATTGATTTCCCACAATAAAGAATTGATATTTAAGAATTAATATTAACTCTCCTTGGTTCAATTTTCCACAAAAATAATGAAACCAAAAGTAAGAATTTCTTGATTATGTAACTATGGATGACGAGCAGTGCTCTGTTAATTGGTTGAATCGTTTTCGAAAATTATTGTAAAGTATTTTTTGGCTTGAAAACTAAAAGACTACCAAAAATCTATGAAAAAAATAAATCATAGGTATCAAAATCGAAAATCGATAACAAAATATGAATATTGCGATTTTTGCCATAGGCAAAAGTCGATTTCAACTTTTAGATGTTTAACCATCTAAAGTCGACCTACATATCCCTTCTCTGTCAAATCTCCGCTGTGCTCTCTTCGGTTTGCAACGTACGTTTCATCCCCCTTCAAAAATAATTTTTATTCATTTTCTAAAGAATCAAACAATTTTAAATAAAAATCATTCAACATAACTAACGCTAGCAATTTAGCTGTCGGTGAATATACGAAACGTCGCGTGTTATATAATGAAATAACTAGACTGTGGTCCGCATTCAAATCACGATTTTTGAAAACAATAACAATTTCCCTAATAAAATAATTGCTGCAGTTAATGAACACAGCAAAAAATGGTGATTTGTGTGTTTGTAAATACACAACAAACAAGATAAATGTGTCAATGCAGCAATTGAGAAAGAGAAACAGTCAACAAAATAATAAGTTCGTCCAATAAATTTCAATTGAGAGCGCCAATAGAGAAGTAGAAAAAATAATTTAGTTTCCAAATAACCGTCACATTTGTACATTGTGTAGCGTCTCATTGTGTCAACGTGTGTTGTGTTCTTATTTTCGGGGTTGCATAAATTAACAGCGTGACAAAACACAAAAAAAATACCTAACAAATATTTGCATAATAAAGTTATTAAAATATAGTAAAGGCCATCGTCGTCGCCGTCGTAGCTGAGATCAGCCAGAAACAAAAACAAACGGAAGAATTTGTAACAAGAAAAAAAGGCCAAAACGAAACGAAAATCTTGAATTTGGAAAAAAAATATTTGTTGTTTATTTTTTTCATCTCTGCTTTGTGTTTATATTCCGGCTCAGCTGTTTGTTGTGTGCGAGAGAGTGGTGTTGCCAACCTCTCAGTTGTCATCTATACTCCGGGTTATACGGTAAAGGTATCTTGAAATACCACTAAGGTAAGTAAATCGAATAAGAAAAAAAGTCGCCGGTTCTGATTTGGAAAAGAAATACGTGAGTTCGTTTCGCGAGTGATTAAAAGTGTCGAGGCTAAAATTCTAGTTGGCATCCGATCGAGTCAGAAGATTTTTCCCTAAATTTCAAAATAATTTGAAGTAGGCTGTAGCCCTTTGGAAGTTATTCATATTGGTTTACATCATTAAACATATTCGATACGTTTTACATTTGATGGATATTTAAGGCATAATTAGTTTAAATATTTTTAGTTTTTATTTCCCTCATTCAAAATTTCTGACCATCGCGGTACGACTAGATCTAAGCCTGTGTTAAAAAAATAAATAAATATAAATTATGAGTGATCAAAATGAGGCAGCTGGCGCCACAGGTGGCGCTGAACAGACATCAACAACAGCAACATCACAGGCTATTCCTGCTACACCCAGATCCAGTGCCACAACTCCTACCTCATCTGTTACCGGTGCACCAGTCAGTCGCCTAAAGGCTCCAACAAATTTCAGCGGTTCATCGTCTTCAGTTTCGAAAATTGGACGACCATGCTCGCATTCAGCTCCAAAGGCAGGCCCTCCACACCGAGGTATGTATTATAAATCATTAATTTTCATTCATTATGGAACCTATTTCTTTTAATTTTTAAATCTATTGTTGTATTTATTTGATGGGATACTGTAGCTTTATTTGTTATTTAAAAAAGTTGGCCAAGATTCCATTGTTGTTATTATATGGTTTAGGGCTAAGGCACGAAATACTATGAATTGGGAATGGGCTGTAAATACTCGTCAGTTCAGTTGGTGTTGGACATACGCAGAGGAGAAAATCTCAAGCCCCGATCAAAAGCCGGCTACTTAAAAGGAGTATCATTTTGGAAAGGTTATAGTGTCAACAATAATTTGGCATAAATGTTATAAAGGACCTTTTTCGACGATTTTTTTTAAATCAACTCCGGAACCGTTTTAAATCACTCCATCACCTATATTGTCTAAACCGGGTCTTGGAGCCGAACTTTCGGATCAAATATCCGGGTCCGTCCCCCAGAGAAATACTTTCCCGGGTTCAGGGTTCAAATACCTACTTCTAATCCGAGAATTTTTACTAAACTAAATGGTGGTAGTACTCTAAATGCCGAATCTAAAACAATTCCATTCAATGCGGGGCTGTGCAATTAAAAACGTGCCGCGTATTGTGCGGGCCTGTGACACACACCGGGGAAACGTCACGCACATCTTCGTCAATTCGTGTCCAATACGAACTGGGACGACTACACCATCTTGATTGTAATTGCGCCAAGACTACCCTGGTTTGTTTAGTCTGCTGGCGTTCTTCGTCTGCAATGAATGGCCGTGGACTCCGAGGCCGGCATTGATCCTGTGATTGCTGATAGCATCGGTATGAATGCCACTCAGACCTACCTGATCTAGAGGCTCACTCTTATAGCGTTGGACCTGTAGATAGTGTATGTCCTTCCTGACACACCTGGGTGGGGGAGTTGTATCCACCATATGATGGTCGGGATAATTCTCACGATAACACCCAAGCAGCTACTGCAACGAAAGCATGTAATTATGCTGACGTAAGAGAAGGACTTTTGCCTCCCTATGTAGATGGTCCACTGGTGTCATGAGGAGGCATCCTGTCGCAGTTCTCAGAGCTGCATTCTGGCTTCCACTATGAGATAGGGGTACAATAAGGTATAATAAGGAGGTAGAACAGCTTCGTAAAACTACAAAAATATAGACCTGAGGCTATGTCCGCTTCCTGTCAGACTCATTCAAAATTATTGTTTTCATTTTTTTTTCATATTTTTCCTCATTTTTAAAATAAGTTAAATATCGCGAAAAATGAATAAAATGTCTGGATTTTTCTCTCAAAAATATGATCTTAACTGTTCAATCTTTCAATTTCATGGCTACACTGGTTAATAGCTTTAATGCGCGAGTCGCAATTCATGTGTCTTCCAATCATTGCTTTTGAAAATATTTTTTCATTTTTCAAAACAATTGATACATACACAAAATTGGCAGAAGTCGGACACAAAATTGTAATCAGCTGTCAGCTCCACCTTACCTTTTTGTTGTACCATGGGTACAACCTTTCACATGTGTCATCGACCACTGGGCCCGACACCATGATTGTACAATCATCCGCATATGTTACAATCTCTATGCCGTCTGGAGGGCGAGGGATTTTGGAAAGGTGGTGGTTAAACAGTTCACTTCACCTTGGGGAACTCGCTGTTTCACTCTAGGGACTTTAGACTTAGACTACTCATGTCAGACCCAACAAAGTATATATATTCCTGATCAGCGTAAAATTCAAAGACGATTTAGCGATGTCTGTCTGTCTGTCTGTTGTAATCACGCTATCTTTCGAAATAATTGAGATAGAAGGCTAAAAATTTGCAGACATGTTTAGTAGACAGTTTAAGTTCGTAGGCGGGTTAAGTTCGTAAATGGGTCATGTAGGTCCACGTTTTTATATTACCTTAATATAACGGTACCTCCCGATATTCGGTATTTTGATAATTTTAGCGACATTATTTACGGGAATTTGATATTTGGAGTTCGTAATGGATACTACAGCCTATGACAGAAAATTGTTTGTGCAGGTCAACGTCTTCGTATAGGCCCAATATATCAGTACCTCCATATATTCGGTATTTTGATGATTTTAGCGACATTATTTACCAGAATTGTTTCAAATTTGGCATTTGAAATTCGTAATAGATACTACAGCCTATGACAGAAAATTGTCTGTGCAGGTCCCCGTCTTCGTATAGCCCCCATATAACGGTATCTCCCTATATTCGGTATTTTGATGATTTTAGCGTCATTATTCACCGGAATAGTTTCAAATTACGTATTAAGAGTTCGTAATGAGAACTACCGTCTAGAACAGAAAATTGTTAATGCAGGTCCATGGGCTGGATTCTTGTTATATGAAAATATGAAGTGAAAAATATTTCCTTTATAACATTTTTCATTTGATATTTCTTTCCTTTATAAAAGTTTTCATTTCACATTTTCATAGAATATAGAATTGACACTCAGGTCTTCGTATAGGCCCAATATATCAATACCTCCCTATATTCGGCATTTTGACGATTTTAGGTACAATACTCACCGAAATTGTTTGAGATGTCGTATTTGAAGTTCGTAATGGATGTTGCAGCCTATGACAGAAAATTGTCTATGCAGGTCCAGGTCTACGTATAGCTCCGATATAACGGTACCTCCCTATATACGGTACATATTTAATGATTGTATCTATATTATTCAATGTTTATTTCAAGTTTCGAATTTAAATATTGTAATGGCTTATGACAAACAATGCCTATGTCGGTCCACGTCGTATAAAAATTTAAAAGAATTTTTAACGGATTTTATTTTTTGAAAATATCCAAATTCGTTCCAAATGGTGGAGGGTATTCAAAGTTCGGCCTGGCCCAACTTACTGCTTTTTAACTTGTTCAGTATTACCATTGAGATTCCGTCTGGGCGCAACGCTTTGGATGACTTAGCGTTCCAGATGACATTTGCAACATCGCCCATCGTAAACTGTGGTGCCTCCTCAGCGGGAAGAGATCTGATACGACGCTTCGCCCTATCGCTCTCCTGCTCAGCGCACCTCTTCGGATCAGTCACCGTTACGTCGTTAAAAATGGCTGAGGTCCTAAAATCCTTTTTTTAAGGTTCGAGTGCGATTTAACCATTACCCACAGGTTACTTATATCGATAGGTAGATAGTATATGACTTCCACTGTCAAATCACTGATTCTAGGCGCTCCTAATGCACCATGATATAGTCCATATTGAATTACGTCGACTCTTAAAGCTATCGTACCTTTAAACCATTGCTCTGATGATTTTATGTGTCATTTTTCATTGCGTGGACCACACGCAGTAGCAATTTTCATCATTCGAATCCAGCCAAGGGACTGAAGATTGTTATATATTTTTTCCGACACACCAATTATGTAGGAGTATACAATGTAGCCGTATTGGTTACATTGTAGTTTACATAACAGCCTGTTTATCATCTTTTTAACATGTAAGCAACCTAATGTTACTTGAGTCTTAAGATTCTCTGTGCCATATTAATTACCATACACTTTTCCCCAATTACCAAGCAGTGAAAAAAATGTCTGCAATCGACAGTCGCATTTTATGAAAGATTGAATTTAATTCAGGCAAATAATCCGACCTTAGCCTTGTTTTGCAAACTCATGCATACCGAGTGTTACTTGAGAGCACTTTTCTGCGTCTGTGTCTGTGTTTTTTGTCTTCGGATGTAATCATTAAATGATTCCAAACATTGCGCATTGTTTCCCACACGGAAGATTTCCCAGACTAGTAGCGTGCAACAAACCGGTAGATAAGTCGCTATTTGTGCTAAATGTTGTTTTCGGAAAGGGGGCCAACGACGCTTAGGTGGTGGTGGCAGATGTATTCTCTGCATAACTATAACAATAATAATTTCGGTTAATAATTCAACATCATAAACTGAGACAAGATTAAAACATTGCTTTTACGTAATTCCAAGCAACATTATAATTAAATGTCAGCCACATAATACCGGTCGTTGGTGGGTTGGTTGGTTAGTTATGTATGTATGGATGTGCCAGTGGTAAAGACGAGTTGCTGAGACCGAACTACGGATGACGATGTCTTTTATTCCTAACTAACTACGTTTCTTGCCTTTGTTCACTCACAAAGCAGTTGCCAGTCATAATGAGAGGAAGAAAATCATTCTTTTTTGAAATTTATTTGACTGACTGTGACTTGAGTGTATTGCAAGTTCATTTACGTACTTCTTTTGTATGCTCCGATGTTTCAAAACAAATGTTCTACATGTGTAATACCATAACATGTTGTTGTCTTTTGCATGACCTCTGCCACTGGTCATGAGGCAACAGAAAGATTTATTGCTATTCCAACTAGTGGGATTTTTCTGGCCAAAAAAGGGCCAACCAATGTGGCGCCTTTAGATTTCTTGTTTTGCGATGGTAGGTTTTTTGTTCGAATGTAGACCGATGTTCCAATTCTTTTATCATTTCTTGTAAATACAATTTCATATTGTGGCTCGAAGTGTGGGAATGAATATTTTGGAGTAAATCCAATTTTTTTTATTTTTTATATTATCTCCATTTTCCTTCCAACAGTTTCAAACCGGAATATGTGACAAGGTCATGCTCTGACAATAAAATATGTAATAACCAAACAAATGAGCGAGTTCTTAACTCTTGAGGAACCTTTGTGGAATATGTAAAAAATATTGAAGTTTTTGATACGATGCAAGATTCTAATGTTTTTTTTCTGGTAGCATTTTATGGTGGCTGGCGATCTGGTAATCCCACTACGTGACAGCATTCATACTGTAATGGTTGTTGTTGTGACAATACTTATCTGCGTGTTGCTTTCCGCTAATTTGGTTCCAACTCCATATTTAAAAATTCAGCTGCCTTCATAGACTGTGGCCAAATATTTTCAGAAATCAGTTGGGTATGTTTGAAAGGGCAATTGAAAAGATGCCGTGTGCTTTGTGGGCCTGTAGCACTTGTTGGACAGACGTTTAGCACAT